TTGCACAGAAGAGACCACAGTACAGCTCTCTTCATCAGAGCATCTTTATCACTGAAAATATGTCATTTAAATTACAATCTGTGACACTAATACATTTACTGAAGGTGCCTTCAAAAGTGTGACATAGGGTTTCTGTAGCTAGATTTACAATATAATAATAATAATGATGATAAGTGCTACATGAATAAACCAAAGTATAAAGGACTTTAGAAAAACAAAATGCATAAAAAAAAAGAAAAACATACATTTCCCAAATTAATTTTGAAGGCATGAACCAAACCAACCTTGCTTTAAAACTTAAATGTAGCACACACATGCAGATAAGTTTAGAAAAGGTTATAAAAAGGCTTACTATAAAAGTATAATTTCACAAGTACTATACAAGACAAAATGCAATTCAAAAGAAGTTACTCAACACGTCAATGAAAATGTTTCAGAAGCAAATTAAAAGATACTACAGCTAATTAGTCGATTGACAGATAATTGTTTCACATGTGAAGGCGGGACTTTTCACTTTTTCTGACATTTTCTAGACAAAACAAATGATCGATTAGTCTAGAAAATATTCTGCACATTAATCGATAATGAAAATACTTGTCAGTTGGAGCGCTGGAGGACACTGATTTTTGCAAGTAATTTATCTGAAGTTACCAAGAAGTCTGAAGACAGGACTATACACCTATTTTTGTAGTAGTGTTGCTTTTTATTTATCATGCAAATCTGGCCCCAACAAGTTAAGTTAATAAGTTAACATCTACAGATAACTCGTTTTGTGCAGCCAAAAATCTTGCGCTTGTTACAAAAAGTATTCACATTTGAAAAGGCGGAAGCAGTGAATTTTGGGCATTTCTGCTTGTTTTTGGTGGATTCATTTTCTCCTGATTTGACTAATTGGTTCATCTCTACCTTCGTCCAAGCATCAGCGTGTTGCATGCAACCTCTTAAGTATAGCAACAAAACATAAGTAGTCCTTTGCCTGCTTCCTTACACGGGGGCATTACAGTCGGCTGTGTGAGACGGGTGCCGCCGTCAGCTGAATGTGAGTGTTCAGCCAGAAATTTACATCAGTAACGAAACCACGATCAAAGTCATCGCTTTTATTTCAAAAGTCCTGAGTCTCTGAGAGCAGCAGCCTCAGAAATGAAAGTCCAGTGATAAGGCTGACACTCTCCCAGTACACTGATACTATACACTCAACTCGGTGTACTTTGTACTTCCTCAAAACGTTCCTTGTGTTACATGTCTGGACAAACTAACAAGGAACTGAAGGGCTTGCCTCAGTAAACATGGTGAAATGTAGTGTGAACAAAGATTGTCCTCACTTCTCTCTGCACTAAACGGAGCCACTGACGTCGATTTTCATTACCTCCCGTACCACCGACTTGCAAGTGTGACGATTCTGCAGCAAATGAGACAGTTACACAACATATGCACATTTTTGTGAGACTGTAGGCAGCATGTTTAGTTCATTTTTAAATTACATTACATTAATGAATGGGTTATGAATATGGCTCCAGCTATCATTCACCTGTGAATTATTTTGAATTTTTGAATCATTATTTTGAATCATAGGGTTAATAGTTTAACAGTTGGGGAAAAAAGGTCTGTAATAACACAATAAAAACTGCCTGTTAACATTTCACCAAGCCTCAGGAACCTAAAGACACCATCACTTTGGCTAACAAAGAGTATAACCCATTATAGGCTGATGTTTTTTCATTCCAACACATTATTGTAGTTTGAATACTTATTTTTGTCCTACATTCTCAATTTCAATAGAAACTGAATATGATAGCATTGTAAAGACATTTTCCTTGTGACTTTATATCATGCGTGAGAAAATATTGTGCTGTGTCAAATGCTGGTGGAGGCTGCACCATTGACTGTGAGGATACAGTATGTCTGTGCCAAACTGGCTCTGTCCTGGATCAGACTTCAGCTTTGAATACACGAGGGTATCTACTGGTGTAGAACAGTTACATGGAGAACTGTTTCCTCCCACACACACACACACACACACACACTCACTCCCACTCCCTCTCCCACTCCCTCTCCCTCTCCTCTCACACAAGTGGAAAGGAAGGTCACTCATATTTCCCTCGCAGAAGGCTGGCACACTTGTGTTTACATTTCATTCCCTACACCCTTCATCACTATAGCAACTCATTTTCTTATTTTGTCATACTGTGTGGGTGCTGTTCAGTCATTTCTGTTGTTTGTAATGTGCAGAAATAAGGCCATGCATGTAAATGATGAATCTGGAGAACTTAAGGAAACCATTAATAATGCAAGTTTTCTCAATTTGTCATCCTGCAGTTACAGCTGTGTTGGGCAATTTTGGTTTTTATGATGGCAGCAAAGTTGCAACAGTTTGAGGTAGAGATCCAGAACGTCTTGGGAAGCTGGCAACAGTCATTTGCATTTGTTGGCGGTGGTTGGACAGTTGGACTTGGTTTTGATGTGTCATTTCCTGTGCACTGAAGACGTCTGGCCAGTTTGTGAATCCAGAAGCAGAATATAAATTGTCATTTCTTGTGACAGACTTGAAAATAGGTGGACTTCTGTAACCATAAAAAAAAAAAAACCCAAAATTATATGAACGTATTAAGTTGCTGAATTTGAAGGCAACACCCATACAGCTTTTCATTCTTGTTTCATCTTTTTGGGAAACAATACTGACACGACAGGTTTTTGGAGTTAAAGTTGGCGTGCAAGCTGCAGGTTTATACCCTAGTGTGGGAATTGAAAATATCTCAGGCTGAGGGAGCATGAGAAAGTTGAAACAGCGAGTGGAAAGAGCCTGAAATTCAACAGTGTGTAGACATGTCTGTGCCTGGAATGATTTCTATAGTGTGGAGGAGGTGTCTCATTACAGGCAGCGCCAAGATTTTAAAGTGGAAGTGAACAATTAGCCCTCTGGGTGTAGACGCACTCAGACAATCAGTCAGACATTTTTTTTTTTTTTTTTTTTTTTTACACATTTTTTATAACAATAACTTTTTGTTGTTTTTTTTGTTTTTTTTTAATATCATTTTGCTCGGAATCATGATTATCGTCATAATGTGTCCTAACCCTCAAAACACACCTGAACCTGCCGGCCGCTAGAGACATGGTAGCACAATGTCAATCAACTGAAAACATGCAGAGTAAACAAAACACATTTTAGCACTTGATGATGCTTCACCTCTTTAAAGAAAAGACCTGCAGGCAAAAACCTACCCTGATTCACAGCACATTTTTCTCCCCTTTATGTTTTTATGCTGGTATTTTTTTCCTGTTTACATCTCATCTCACCTTTTTCTAGCTAATGGCCGAAATGTCTCCTCATGAAAGATTTAGTGAGTATTAAGAGCAAATATGTTTTTATTGAGTCTGAATATTGTTAGTAAACCATCCGATTTTTTCTTTTTATATCCAACACTTGCATTATGAGAAAAAAAATCATTTTAGCACTATATTTGACACCAGTCTCCACTTTGAAAAACCAGACATTGACAGTAAATCACCTCTGTTGTGAAGTTATGCGTGATATGAAAGGCACATTCCTCCTAAGCTTTGTGCATTAACTTATTGACCCTTCTCTGGGTCTGGCTTTATTGTGAGATCTGCCAGACCCAGGAACCCCATGCATGCAAACATGCTTCACCATTTCCTGTTTACATTGCACTTTTCTTTATTGGATTTCAGATGCCAGTATAGCAGAATGGGGCTGAGCTGCCTGCTTACATTCACACTCGCTCTATCATATGAATCGTTACATTATGGGCAATGTTGAAAGGAATATTAGCGCACACACTTTGCACACAGTGACAGGTTTCGTTTGCGAGGCTGTGTAGCATGTACATACAGAAGTGCCAAATTCATGCAACTCTGGTCATTAAAATCCTGGAGTTTGGCAATTTATTAATAACTAAATTTAAAGTAGTGAAGTTGTGAAGAGCTGTGGCATGGCGTGATCATATGCAATTTCACTGCATCCTCTCAGCAGGGCACAATCACTCTGACCTGCCGTATTATAGACCTGCTCGGTAGCGGCCTGAAACACACTGAGCTGTGTGTCATCGAGCTAAACTAACGGCTGTGGCCATTATCTTCTTTTATCTGACAGATACTTGCAGCAGCCTCACTGTTCTAATGGTATTGCTTATGCATACATTTCCTGCTGTTATTACATCACATTCAGAGCTTTCCACTGGTAAACCACAGGACGGAAACAGCATTTGTCACCAAGGTTAATACCTGACAATCACTGTTCAATAAAACCTGGTCTGCACAGCAAAATATGAGTTGGATTTTTCATTTCAAAGGATGAACTCAGTGTTTCCCCTAAATACATTTTCCAGCAGCAGACCACAGCTGAAATCATATTAATCTTGTACCTTGTGTAAACTCACTCTACACATTTTAATCTGCGTTTTAGCACAACCAGAACCTGCAACTTGTACCCTCACAATGTTTGGATCAGTTGACTGTCCACAAAGTGTAAAATTGAACTCTGAAAAGCAGCCAAGCAAAACTTTCTGTCATGCCAGAACTCTAGGAGTCAGTTTGTTGATCGATCAGGTGATTAATCAGATGTTATGATCCCGCTCAAACTGCATGTGCAAAACAATAAGATAAAATTTATTACAAGTGTCTGTCAACATCATGGATAGGATTCCTATACACATGCTTTTTTGTTTAACCAGAAACAGCCGTTCCACCACTAACAGACTCGATTGACAAAAGCAGTAATTTTACCTGGTGAATCATGTGGGTTGCTGGTCAGCTGCTGCAGTTGCTGGGTGTAGCGTTCTCCCTCAATACTGCTCCGATTCTAAAGATTTTTATCAATCATTTACATCCCAAAACAAAAAAATAAGGACCCGGTTAAAAAAAATCCCAAAGTTATCTTTTCAGCAAAACTATTTCTGTTTCAAAGGTGGCGACCCAAGTTTGAATAACGTCCTGTTCCTTCTACAGTGGTTTCTAATTGCTGCCTTTTTGTTTTTTTAATTCAGCTCTGCCTATGACCGGGACAACAAGATCCGTGTGGCCATTAAGAAGATCAGCCCTTTTGAGCACCAGACGTACTGTCAGCGCACCCTGAGAGAGATCAAAATCCTTCTGCGCTTCAAACATGAGAACATCATTGGAATCAATGACATTATCCGCACACCGACCATCGACCAGATGAAGGACGTGTATCCTTTCACATACAGGTTGTAAAGTTTGTCGTGTGCCTGCAGCTGAGTTTATAACCTTCAGGTTGGGGCTTGATGGTATTTATATTTGAAGTTGACAGTGTGTTAAGATATTCGTATTTGTCAGGAGTTTGAAATGATTTCTTTGTTTTATCAGTGAGGTTTGTCTTAGTCTCCAGTGTTTGTAGTTGAATAGGGGTTTTCAGTTGTATTTTATTGCATAATAGCCACCTGTCATCGTATATTTGGCAGAGACGCTCTTCGCTGTAGCCCAGCAGCAACAGTAGCAAAGTGCTCGGGTCCATAGTCACTGTCAGTTTCATAATGCAGTTTAACACAATGTCTTACCTAAAACAAAACGGACACAGCTACTCAGCTTATAGCTTCCTGTATGCCACATAACACGAGCATTCATCCAAACACCAAAACAAAAACCTTTGCATGTAGAAATCTTTCTTTTACAGAAATGAGCTTCTGGGTCCTTGTTAAACAACTTGTGGTGAAAGAGCTTATTTAGGGAAGTTGTAGATACAACATCAGTATGTTGTTGCTATAAGAACACCAACTCATTTAACCACAATGACAACTCTGGGACTTTGATATTGTACTGAATTGGGAAGTTACCCAAAATACCAATCATCATCATCATCATCATCATCAACAACAACAACAACAACAAAATCAAAATGTCTGAGCTACAGGATGCAAGGTTTTTCATTGTCTTTGCCTGCTCCAGGAAGCATAAATATAGTTTGTACACAGGCACTGGGCAATATCACCAAAAATCAATATTATTGTTAACTGAAAAATTTGCTGGCACATAATAACGATTAGTTTCATTATCGATCATTCTTCAGTTTATTTTATATATAGTTTATTAGTCTGTAAAATGGTAAAAGATAAAAATAAAAAATTGTGAAAAATAGCACTCACAAGTTCTCAGAGTTCATGTCGATGTCTTCAGTTTGCTGTTAATGATTTGATAGATGATATCTTATTAAATGCAGCTGTGCACAAGGTTTTTCATCCTCTCAGTGGAGCTTATATTCAGTCCTCATTGTTAAAATAAACAGAAAATAATGGATTATGACTTTGTTGACTAATCTGGACAGGATTAAGTTCTGTATTGCCTCCTGTAAATTGCCTCTATATTATGAGGAATGTGGTTTCCGCTATATTAAAGTCAAAAGAGTTCTTTAACCAGGAACTGTGCAGATATATTGTCCAGGATCTCATGGAGACAGACCTGTACAAGCTCCTGAAGACTCAGCACCTGAGCAACGACCACATCTGCTACTTCCTCTACCAGATCCTACGAGGGCTCAAGTACATCCACTCTGCCAACGTCCTGCACCGCGACCTGAAGCCTTCCAACCTTCTGCTCAACACCACCTGTGATCTCAAGGTAGTGTCTCAAACAGATTTCCCAAATCTAGTCTTCCTTGGTGTAGAAAGACCTTTTTATTTTGGTGTCCTATAATGGTCTAATTACTTCCAAGGAACACACTGCATTGCACTATTTTCTGTCTGTGAAGTATTGTTATTAATAAAAAAGGATTAGTTAACTTACGCAATGCTCAAACACACATTTCATTACATGTGTTACTGACCCTCACGTTTGAGGAGGAAAGCATGAAAACTGATACATTACAGATCAATATTATCATGACAAATACAAACCTGATCACGTGTCCTCTAGTGTTGCAGCTGTTCACTGTGTCGTCTCTCACCTCTCTGCAGATCTGTGACTTCGGTTTGGCTCGTGTGGCCGATCCCGACCACGATCACACTGGTTTCCTCACAGAGTATGTAGCCACTCGTTGGTACCGAGCACCTGAGATCATGCTCAACTCCAAGGTGAGCGCCCTCACCTGCCGTGACGTGTTGACATGTCAACAGTCGGGGATGAAAGGATGAGTTGAAAACGCTTGTTTTTGTTTCTTTGTTTGTTTTGCCACTCGAGTATTTTCACACGAGGACGATCTGATCTGTTTTCGGTTCACTCCTCAGTCCTGTATTTTAATTTAATGTTGGGGAAACGTGGACTATACAGGCGCAGTGTGTTTTTCTTGTTTGTCGTCACGTCAGAGAATACAAACAAGAAAAACACGCTGCACCTGTATGTTAGATGTGTCTTGTATTTGATATCAGGTTACATTACAATGCTCCTACATTTTTAATGCTAATTTAAATCTTAACTTTAGCTTTGAATCCTGCAGATCATCGAACACAGTTCAACAGTTAGGAGAGTGAGACACTAACACCAGAATAAAGGCTTTATTGTTCCTGCTACTTAATAATGTTACTTAATCCTGTTTGCATTCATCTGATTCTTTGTTAATGTCCACCAATTTATATTAAATTGACTTTATACACACTGTGGTCATGACTGTGTCTTTGTGCCCCTCCCTCTCAGGGCTACACCAAGTCCATAGACATCTGGTCAGTAGGTTGCATCCTGGCTGAGATGTTGTCCAACAGGCCAATCTTTCCTGGGAAGCACTACTTGGATCAGCTTAACCACATTTTGGGTAATTATTCTGTCACTGGTACTGTAGTACTATCCTTTAATTAATCAGCTTCAACCGATTTTTGACATTTATTAGTCAAAATGTTTGATTTTTCTTGATATGATTTGTCAATTTGTTAGTTTAATCTGCTGATCATTTTCTCAATTAATCAATTAATGTTTACTATAAAGTATGGTCAGGGTTATTATAGGTGTAGGACTCTGAAAAACAGCGATCCTTGTATTTGAAGATGTGATACCATCCCTCCTTCGGCGTTTTAAGAGACTTAAACGATTAATAAATGATCAAAACATAACATTCAGTCCGGTGTCATTTGTGTTAAAGCTCAAAGTAACAAACACCTGAACTTCAACTGGTTTTTATCTTTTTATTATCAAACCTGCCATCATTGGTGTCGTTGGTGTGAACCGGTGTTTTTAAATAAGAACAATATATTTTCACAAAAAGTACAGGTTTATTCCAGTCATTCTGAATTTATTCATTGTAAAAGCAGAATACATTATTTTTTCCATAATAATAATTATATTCTGAATCACTGATATTAGTTGAGTGTTTGCTATTAGATATAGTTATTTACTTTGAAATATAGTGTTTATGTAGCTTAATGGTAAAAATCAGCTAATCTGGATAATAGATATTTAAAATAAGTATATCACAATAGTTGTGGTATATTTTAACAACTTCATGTTTTACTTTAAATTGAGACAAATGCAGTGTCAGTGTAGTTTGCATAAAAGATTTGACAACTTTCGACTTGAGCTAAAATTTCACACTCTCTGTCAGTAGCAGCAGCTTCCTGGTTCTAGTCCACAGATACTGTAGCTGTTAATTTGCATTTACCAAGTTGTACTTTTTGTGTCTTGGTGCTAGACCACATGTTGCTTCTCCCATCTGTCTTTTTTTTCTGTTGTAATTTTTGCTCAACAAAACGTCCTCACATAACTGAGAACTTCTTGAGAATTAGTGTCTTTCATTTAGAGCTGTGCACTCAGAAAGTATTTCTTCTTTGTCCCTCAGGGATCCTGGGTTCTCCCTCTCAGGAGGATCTCAACTGCATCATCAACATTAAGGCCAGGAACTATCTGTTGTCGCTGCCTTTGCGCTGCAAAGTGCCGTGGAACCGCCTCTTCCCCAACGCTGATCCAAAAGGTCAGAAGCCTGGACAACAACACAATTCCTGCTTATTTGTAGAACATCATGAAAGTTTCTGAGGTGATACTCAACCTATCTGCAGGCCTCGAAAAGTCTTAACGTCAGATATAAAATGTTTTTGTAAGTGACTGTGCTCTGTCAAGAGACGTTAAACACCTGTAACCTAAAGGTGGGATTGCTGCAGCGGTGGGTTGTGCACACAGGAGGCTGGAGTTTCAGTCAGCATCGGCTCGTAATGGGAAAAGGTTGATGTTAGCAAAACTTAAATTAACATATCCACATATCGTTTTAACTGATTAATCCTTCCATCCATTTTTTTTGCCACATATCTTGGTCCAGGACACATTCATTTAATTAATTATATCATTAGAAATTATTGTTATACACTGCTGAGAAGAACTGATAAAATGTGATATAATTCTCGACCTTATTGTCCCCATCATACTTGGACATTCTGGCCAGTATGATTGTGGGGGAAAAAAAAGCATTAGATTTAATTCATGTGGTATTAAATAAAACTCTTAAAGTCTCAAATTGAACTGTGTGAGCTCTGCAGGCTGCAGACAGGGGAGGGGTCGACTCTGCTAACCAACTTCCTGAGGGAATTCCTGCACAAAATATCACTTTATATCCACAGGCCAACAGTGAAAGAATGTAGGAAAGGATAGGGACATTCCAAGTGATGAAGGAAATGGGTGAATATGAATAAGTCAAATGAGTCAAATGCTTTGAGTTCTAGTGAGAGTGAATCTTGGACAGGAAGGAGGTGCAACTAAAAATATGTGGATTTAATCCCTAATAGTTTGGTATCTTGCAGGAATATTAGATTTCAAATCAGTAATTTGTCAGTATTCACATTCTTGCTGTTGTGTTTTTTGTGCTGAAGCTCTGGACCTGTTGGATAAGATGTTGACCTTTAACCCTCACAAGAGGATCGAGGTGGAGGAGGCCCTGGCGCACCCTTACCTGGAGCAATATTACGACCCCACAGATGAGGTGAGACGGTGACGTTGGCCTGTTACATGTCAGCTTGTGCTAAACAGGCCTGTTCTGTGTTTATCCAGATATGTCATGTTTTATACTTTCTAATGCTACAAAAGAATCTCTGAACGGTTCAGTTCAGAACAGTTTGTTTTAGTGGTGATCAAGCTCAAGTCTCCACTGTACGTTTACGTCCACATGTCTTCTCTGCCGCCCCGTGCAGCCTGTTGCTGAGGCTCCGTTTAAGTTTGACATGGAGCTGGACGACCTACCCAAAGAGACACTGAAGGAGCTCATCTTTGAAGAAACTGCGCGTTTCCAACCCGGCTTTAGGTCCTAACATCTCGCACAGGTAAGTCCTCATCACTGCAGTCCACAGTCTCGAACCTGAACACGAACATAAACCCGGAGAGGGACGGTGTTCAGAGCTACAGGTACGGAACAATATCGCCGTTACCAGCACCGATGTTTTGAAACAGACGAGTTTCCAAGGTCGGAAAGATCAGGGAGATCCGCGTCGCAGTCAGATGTTCCCGCCTCCGCTGCTTTAAAAACACAGAGGAGTTGAGAGTCCATCATGAAAACTGCTTTACACTATAATGTTCCAAGTTAATGGTGTTATTGCAGCTTTAAAATCTAATCTTAAATTTGACAACAACACTTAAGAGCTGAAGTAAGGACCTCACAGATACAGATTTAAATTTAGCTTGTGTAGAGAGTGAAGCAGAGGTACTTCACAAGGGCAACACCACTTTAAAACATTGTCTATCTGAACTGGCAGTTTAAAGGTACATAAACAAGTATAAGTCTGTGTTATCGCTGCCTGTTTGTATTCAAAGCAAAACCTGAAACAGGTGCCTGTATTCAGATATTTAAAGTTGTAGCTGAGCCTCTGGAGGCAGGACTGACCTCTAACTTTGAGAACAACATATCCAAAGATAAATGTAAGCCTTGAGGTGACGCGCTTCCTTTAGAAACTGACTTGTTCAAGGAAATTTAAACGATAAAAAATGTATGTGAAAACCCTTGAAGACACAGTTTTATGGCACTTGAATGTTAAACACACGAATATCCTTGATTTGGAGGATTTCCACCAAACCACCGCGTTTTATTTCAGAATGGATTCAGTTGTTCAGTTTGTTTAGAGAGACAGATTGTACCTCAATGCTGTTTTGTTTGTTTTCTACCATCTGAGCTGTGTCAAGTACAGAAAGCTGGCTTCCAATGTCATATGCCATATTTATAATCTTATTTACTAAATTTGATAAAATATCATGGTTTAAATGAAGTGTTTCTCAAACTGTCTGTGAGTGACCACTAGCAAGTAGTGTTTATGTTGTTTTCAATATTGAATCAAATCATATTTAAACTCAAACATAATTTTTTGAACTGGCTGTTTTCGCCCGTTTACACTCTGTGTTTTTATGATTTTACGTCAGAAATGATCAGATTGACATTTGAAAGGAAATGCGGATGAAGTTTATGGTTAATCTGCCCTGGGATTGCGCTAAATAATCGGTGTCTCTAAATAATCGGAGTCTCTACCATAGTAATGTTTTTGCATTGTAATTCTTTATTCAAGGGATGAGCAGTTTCCCTGCCTTTATACTAAGTACAATTAGCTGCTGTGAGTTAGCGTGCTGTTAGACGAATATGAATCCTATAAGAAACATATTCATCTGATTGTAAGTGAAGATTCTTAATGCAGTTTCGGAGAGAGCGGAGGGTTAAAATATTGAATGTAAACACAAAATATCACTATTCTGTAGAGATAATTTTTTACACTATACTGTAGGTCTGAACAATCAATACTGGTCAAAACCTTTTGAAAACAAATACTGTTGAATATATCACACGCGTTCCCTCCTGATCACTGCGAAACGCCAGCTGCTCCCTCACACGACCCTTGTTGTGATAATAACTATCAGCCTCTCGTCTGCTTTTGTCTCGGCGTATGTAATTGCTGTGTTTGCTGGCTGCTGCATTGTGATGCATAACATGAGTCCGCTGGAAGGGCCTGAATTAGAGCAGCACGAAGTAAATCAGATCGCTCTCTTTTAAAGTGTATTCTTCACGTCATCATAATAACTTACTTCAGTATCTGTAACTCTTGTTAACAGAGCTTTAACTTCATAAATTACTAAAGAGGTTGCAGCTGCAGTAACATGTTAATTAATATAATCCAGGTGAGTTGATAAATGTCTCATTAATGGGATCAAAGCAGAAGCCAAAGTTAATGGGAGGTTTATTAGATAAGATAATTATAAGATAATATTATATGTGTTTAATAATTGAGAATGGGAATTTTTACAAGTATTAATTGGTTTAATTAAGAAAAAATTTAAATAAGAATTTTTGTTAAGTTGCAGTGATGTTTCCTCAGTAATAAACATATAGCTGAATAAACGCCTCTTAACGTGTTTGAACTGAATGTTCAAGCTTCACACAGATAAAATGTGTGGCTGAGCTGTTGTACTGGATTGCATGACACTGCACAAAAAAGGGTTCGGGTTTTGTTTTGTATTTTGTTTATTTTGAATATTGGACAGGAAACAGAAAACATGCAAGAGTGATATTCAGTTTCCATCCAGACACAACAGCATGAATTTGAATTTGTCCCAAAGCAAATGTAAAATCTCTCAGAAACTATCTATACTCTAATGATTATCAGCTGCAAAACAAAACATATTGTGTATACAGTATACAACAAAACTGAGTACACCCCAGTGCAAAATCCTTAAGGACCAGTGTGAAGGATTTAGTGGCATCTAGTGGTGAGGTCGCAGATTGCAACCAACTGAACACTCGATTACGTCGCCACTCCTTTTCTAAGCATGTGGAAGAAGCTGCGGTGGCCGTCAGGGAACGTGAATACGTTGGAGACCCTCTGTCCGTCCTGGGCCACTGTAGAAACATGACGGTCTAACGTGTCAGGCTCTGTGGAAGAGGTCCTGCTCATTCGAAGCTAACGAGAACGCAACAGTTCTTAGTTTCAGGTGATTATACACTAATGAAATCATAATTATGAATATTATATTCAGTTTCTGTCAATAGATCCCCCTACACAGTGATCTTTTAAATGATACAAAATCGTTGCATCTTAAGATAATTGTATTTAACTTGACGTGTTGAACATTTGATCTTATGTATAATACAAACAGACGGGTTAGATAGACTACATTGAAAATACGGTTCCCAAGCTACAACCTCATTGCAACAGAAGTGAGAACACCTGTGTTGCAGTGGTCACAGGTGTTGGAGAGATGACGCATATAGATTGACACTATGAATTAAAAGTTTTTAAACCCAAATACTGAATGAAAAGACGACAAAGATCAAAGAGTTTTTAAAGGAGGAAAGAAAAGTGAAAACTATGAAATCCAGTAATTCACCTTGTGGAATAATTTTTAAAGTGGAAACAAGAGCAGCTGAAAAGAATCTTCTGTAAAGAACGGCAGAGCATTTCTCTACAGATTTTTACAAGGCTGGAATCATCCATGCCCAGAGGATCAAATCTGTCCTCAAAAATAAAAACCAATGTGCAAAATATTTAAAATAAATAATTGAATGGAATCTCACTAATGAAGGTTGTACTGACTTTTGTTGCCATTGGGTCTTAAATATGAACTTTTGATCGCAGTTTAATTAGTCAAACATTTCTGTTTTTCAAATTAAGTGTCTTTGGCTAAAAACAGATAACAGTGTATTAAGTGCACAGGATGTTTAATCAGTGATATTGATCAGGGTTGCACTCAGTCTCGTTGTAACTGTCACTATATCAATGACTATGACATTAAATAGCTCTTCACACACGTCACTGTTTCTTCTCCCTCCAGATTGCTCTGTGGACTGGCTTCTGCGTTGCCACTGCTCCTCCCCGCCTCCACACTGTTGCTGTGACTTTTGTTTTGTTTTTGCTTTTCTTTTTTTTTTTTCCCCCCTCTCCTATTGTCCGCATCACCTGGATTCCTTGGGTCTCACTCGTCAAGTCCACTTTGCTCAGGAATGGCGTCAGGAATCAATCAATCAATCAATCGTTCTCTGTCCCTTTTTCTTTTTCTCTTTTCTCTCTCTCTCCCTCTCTCTCTCTCTCTCTCTCTCTCTCTCCCTCTCCCCTCGGAGGTGAAGAGTAGGGGGGGGAGGGGGTGTCACATCACAGCTTTTACAGTTTTGGGGGTGGTTTTTGTGTTTGAAGCCAAGATAAACAATTTTTTTGTGTGTCTCAAAGGCGTGTGGCTCTGGCTAATCCTATTCAAGACATTTTGATGTCAGTGATAGACTCGCTGTTGTGGTTTCTTTTTTGGTGCAACTGTCGTGGTTATAACTCTGCCTACATTGCACAAACAACAGTATATTACTTCTAAGAATCATTAAAAACAAAAGGTCTTTTGAATTTTCTAACCTTAGTTGCACTGTTACAAGGGATATCTCTTCTCTTTTTTTCTCTCTTTATGTCTTTGGAAGAAAGGAAAAAACCCGAATGAAATTAACTGATTTATGCAATGAAATCACATAATCATCCAGAGACTTTGCAGGCCACAAGCCATCACTTTTGGTGTTGACAAGGATCAATATTTTATCAACGACCTTGTATTTAAATCCTTAAAACACTCACACAGAAGGCCCAAATGCAAATATATACATATACATATAAATATATATATATATATAGCCTAAAGAGTCTTAAGATATTTTAATGCCAAGAGTGACGATAGAAGGGGAATCAAATGAATTTATAACCTTTTTTTTCTTATTATTAAAAACATTGAAAAAGAAACGCCCGTTTTCATTTCTCATTGGCTTCAGTAAGATGTCAGTTTGTGTGTAAATGCACCAAGTTACAAGGTGCGTTGGGAAGTTTCACCGTCAATTTCTGCCTTAGCCGTGAGAAACTAAAGCAAAAGTCAGTTTATTCCACACAAGTCTGTATGTACAGTCTGATATTTTTCATATGGGGGGGGGGGGGGGGGGGGGGGGGGGAGATATGCTCGCGTCAGGAAATAAGAACTTCACACAGAACACACTCGTTTCGTCTGGAAGAGTTATTGTGCCTCCCTTTTCGTCCTGTTTCGTGTCTTCTTTCTGTCTTTTTTTTTTTCTCTTCGGTCTCTTTCTCTCTCTCTCTCTCTCTCTCTCTCTCTCTCTCGCGCCTTGTTAGAATAATACTGTGCCCTTTGCATGACTGTTATAAGCTCTGTATACAAAGACGACGATGTTAAGTGCCACACAAGCCGGGCAGATCTGCAGGGAGAGCGCCCAGGCTCTTTCTGTTCTACCTTTTGTGGTATATCACACCTCCCAGACACATGGTGCTTTATGTCCGGTTTCTTTCTTTCTTTCTTTTTTGCCTCAGCGTTGTCTTCATTTGTTTGTTTTTTTTGTTTGTTTTTTTTGTCTCCATTGTCATTTATTTCTACAGGTTTCAATTGTGCATGCTAAGACGTCTTGTCGTGGTTGCAAATAGGAGAATAACCATATATCTGTATTTATACCAATCACAAAAAAACACAAAACATGTTGTTTCCTGAACCTGAAAATGGGATCCAGGCACGATACAGATGAAATGATACTTAAACATAACCAACCATGTTCTCCATTCAGTCCTTTTTAACTGTTTTTTTTTGTTTGTTTTTTTTGCTTTGATTGCACATTTTCACACTGATAACAGTCAGCAGTGTCAGTACCAGCAGACAACTGCAGTATAAATAAAAAAATGAAAATAAATAAATCCAGAACTGCAGCAGAAATCAAGACCATATTTTCACTTCTCGTCAGTAACTGCTGATTAAAGACTGTTGAATTTGAAGATTTTATTTCAAGTGAAAGGAATTATGACTTTAAAGATTATATTTGTAGAAGCAGTGAGGTTTCATCCACCAACGTTAATGTCACTTCGTTTGAGTCGCGCTGCAGCGTCTCATTTCATTTTGTTTACAAGTGAGCCTCAAATCTGTTCAGTGTCGTGGTGCACCTACAGTACTGCAACTTCAAAACAAAAGCTCATTTGGAAATGTCTGAGTGACCTAATGAATGAAACAGTAGTTTTACTTACGACACTAAAGCATCTCGAAGTAGATTAAAGTCAAAATCTACCTGAACGGATTCTTCAGGAGTCTGACTCTGCTGGCACTTAAAGTAAGAAATTAGAGATTTAAATCTAAAAAGAGACAGTTTCAGAACCGTTGAGCTGCTTTGGCTTATTTTTCATTCTTTCTGACGTATATAGTCTGTGACTCAAGTATTGGGACAAGCTGTAAACTCATGATTTTTATTTTATTTTTTTTTATGTTTCTATCGGGGATGAGTTGATTCTTATTCTACATTTACACAAGTGTCAAAAGCAGGTTTGAGTTTCTCTGAGGGCAGAGCTGCTCCGGTCAAATGAAATCACAGTGGACAGAGCCAAAGAAGCAGTTTTAATTTGTCATTTCGGCTGTTGGTGATGCGCTGACTTAGAGGCAGTAGACTTCTACATTACTGCAGCCAGGTGGTAAGTTCAACCACCGGAGGTCAGCAAAAACAAGTTTTACTTATCTATCTTGTCAGTCTTTGACTTCCGCTTAATCTGTCATTAGTAAATACCCTCCTGACCTGAGATGACAAATGTAATGCTTTGTTTTACATGTTAATTCTTAGGATGTTTTCTGGAAATAACTTTGTAATTTGGTCCTAATTGTAGGTAAATTAGAGACAGTGTTCAATAGACGACAACAAATGATTATTTAAATCTTCATATAAACTGTCAATTATTTTAGTGATCATGGTTTGGTCTAGAGAAAATCTAAGATCTTTCAAATAACTATATTAATTTTTTATCCCAACAACAGTCCCAAACCAAGATGTTAAGTTTTTTATTATCCGTCCATCAACTAATCAATTAATCAACTAGTCAATGTTAAATTGGTTTACTTCCAATAAATTGATTCCAATTAATTTCTAAGATAGCTTAACCTTGGGAGTCTGAAAATCAGTGACTGCTTTTAAATTTTAATGAAAACAAAAACATTCCAGGAAGCTTTCAAGAAAATATTATAAAATAACCTGTAAAAATAAAGTTTCAAAAAACTGAAATTTTCAACCAGTGTTCCCTCTTTGCTGAGGCCAAAAAAAAAAAGGTTTTGTTGGTTCCGTCCACAGAGATTTAACTCATCTGATGACATTTAAATATATATGACAAAAGCTCCATTGCAGAAATGACCGTTTTTGCACTCACAAATTTCGCCTGCACAGACATGAGGTAAAGACCCATCTGTCCCAGTACTCCTCCTCACACTCGCTGTACACACCCGTGTGTCACACAGTTATTAAATGCACTTGCTTCTACAGTAGTTGGGATGGGACTTGTAATCCGAGGTGCCTGCCGGGACTTGACTTGCCTGTAGATAGTCTTTTTTTTTTTTTTTTTTGGGGGGGGGGGGGGGGGTTCAGTGAGAACATTAAGGGCACTGGAAAACCTTACTGGTATTAGTTGTATAAAAAAAAAAAAAAGCTTCTGCTGAGTTCTTTGTGCAACCTGTCTGTTTGTGCCTTTTTTGATAGTCTTGATATCCAAGATTTGATGTGCAGCTTTTGTTTAGTCGGGAATCCGTTGTAATCGCAGTATACGCTCTTAAAAATGAACACAATCAAGTCTGGGGGGTGGGAGGGGTCACGGGTGGGCATCCTTATCTTTCAGTTATGTAAATTTTGAAGAGATTTGTTGCCACAGCTGTGTGATTTGTGACTGTATTGAAAAGATGAAAAGCAAACATTTATATTTTTTGCATTACCCTTTTTCCTTGAGCCTTTTTTTTTTTCTTTTTTTGATGTTTTTGTGCAGATATTTTTATTGTAAAATGAATGTTATGTTTCTATCAGACACTAATCTCGTTTGAGTTGTCTCCAGTGGAACTACTTCACTCTGTATGTTTTGATCAGTATAAACCTTTAATTGTGTAGTTAACATTTCTGAAAGAGAAAAAAAACAAGATCCTTGGTTGTATTTCAAAGGTTTCTGTTTGACCTGCCATAGAAATTGTTTGAATTGATCAGTCAGTTTTATTTTGCTGTTGTGTGAAGGATTTGACTTGAACGAAGCATTTCTTTGCTGTTATTAAAGACTGACTGCCACTTTGAAAAATCTGTTTTTTTTTTTTTGTTTCTTTTTTCTTTTTTGCAACTCTGCCAAGACATTTAAATAGACGTTCATTAAAAACACTGTACCTTCATTAACATCTCTGTGAATTGTCTTTGTGAGCCGCAGTACAGGTTTTACCTGGCACGTTCACATCAGTGAACCTTAAAGGTCCCATATTGTATAAAGGTAGATGTCCATGTGTTTGATTATAAGTTAGTGTTAGTGTTTTACCTGAAATCTGCTATATTTTTATTTAATCACTCAGAAAACAGTCAGCCAATCAGAAGAGAGGCTCAGAGCCTCCTCTCTTCTGATTGGCTCACCGACCTGTTGTTACTAGAGCTCCAGAGAGAAGCCTGAGAGAGGAGATGTTAAACTATTTAAGCTGATTTTCAGTTCTTAAAACCACAAATATATCTTCTTATGGATCAAGACTAAATAAAACACAGGAAAAGGGTGAAATATGGACCTTTAACTGCTGTCGGCCTCTATCATCACATACAGAGGTGCAAAAATAAAAGTTTCTAGGAGCGACTGTTTTTTAAATGGCAGTTTTATCCATTTAAAATTATATCTACAACACAATTAAGTGTGCAAAAAGGGAGAAGTTGTGTGAAAAGTAATAGATTTACTCAAGCATTGCACTTAAGTTGGATATACATGAGTAAAGTTAAAAGGATCTAATAAATTTACTTAACTTGTGTTTCAGAGCTAAATATTGAACTTTTTACTGCACTACATTTATCTGATTGTACATACAAACATTTGATCAACATCTTGCATATACAATATATCTACAGATGTTTTCAGGTATGCGTCGGATCAGAGATGTGCAAAGCTCTGCTGGGATTTACGCGAGGTCACCATGTACTAATAAGAATGAATAAGTTGTTAATTACTGTTTTTGATGTTGTTTTACAAGATAATAACTTGTCTGAACAATATATTATATTGTTTTAATAGTACATCTGGTTAGTTTTGGATCAAACATGGAGCTGTGAAATTTATGAGCGATAAAGAGTAATCTGAAAAGATTTCAAATTTTAAAATCTTGATTTTAACAAAAATGCACAACAATTGTGATATAACACAATACACACAACCAGAAAAAAGGACATAAAGTCCTCATGCCCATCAGACTGAATAATCTCACTCATGCTGTATTGTAGCCACTTTATCCCACAGTGTCCTTTAGAGGGCGCCGTCGTATTGGCTAATAACATGAATTGCAGTCTGTCTGTTGTAAAGTCAGGGGTCTGATTCATAAAATAATGTCATTCACTCCTGTAGCCTGCAGGACATAACGAGGTTAAAATTCATTTCATCCCCTTTGGTTTTAAAAAGCTGAAGAATGATATACATTAAACTGTTCACAGAAACTGCAATGACCATAAACCCGTTTTATTTTGAAGGAAAGGCAAGAGGATAAATCCACACTTACTCACCTGCTATATTTAAGAACATTAATACCAGTGGTGAAAAGACAAAAAAATGAACCATTTTTCTACTCTATTCTACTTTTACTTTACAAGTACATTTTGCTGAGAGCAGGATCTTAAAAGCAACTCTTTTACTTATAATTGAGTATTTTTTAACTTTTGTGTACTTGTGAGTACTTCTTCTACCAAAGAATAATACAAATTTAAAGTCCAGTATATTAAATTGAAAATAAATACCACAAAATAAATACAGAGAGGAAACAGTCAAAATGAGGCTTAAAGACAATGAAAAAAATTAACAAATAAAATTGTGTTCATAAAATACGACGGTGAAAAAAAACCTAAATTTAACCCTGATATAAATACATAGGATAAAACTACAGTTAACTCAAGTATAAATCATCA